CTCTCTCTATGTATATGTATATATATATATACACACACACATACACACACATAGATATACATGGAGAGAGGGAGAATACAATATATACCTAAGATAAAACTAAATAAATAAATAGATAGATATATATATATATATACACACACACACACACACATTTACACACACACACACACACGCACGCACATGCCTCTTAGCAATGTTCGTTTAGGGTTTCAGCTTAGGGGTTGTCGTGACCCAGGAATACTGCGAGATCAAGGACGTTCAATCGCTGAAGCGGCACCTGCAAGGCTATTGCGGCCTACCGAGGTTCTCAGGGGATTCAGCAGTGTAGGTGGGATTCAGGGATCCCCTATGTCTGGAGCCTAAAGCTAAGCCCTAAACCCTTGATTTGGGATTACCGCTGAACCCCAAAGCCCCAACAGCCCAAAACCCTGAAGTCCCCTAAAGCGCTAAACGTCCAAAGCTCTCAACCTGGTTCCTTGTTGGATACAGTTTTATATTTTTGCTATAAATAAACCCTCATAGGCCTTATTAGGGTTCAGGGTTTAGGGTTTAGGGCTTGGGGTAAGGATGAAAAAATGATCATTGTTAATATGTGCACCAACAGCAACCCCATAAGCCCTGAGCCCTGGCCACATCCCATCTCCTTGGACTCCGCTGAGGTTCAGGCAACGAATTTTGCACCAGGGAACTGAGCTCCAGGACCACTTCGAGCCCCAACTGTTTAGGGTTAGTTAGGGTTTTGGGCTTCCCTAAACCGTAAACCCTAAAACCTAAACCCAAACCCTAAACCCTAAACCCTAAAAGGTGCGCCCTAAAGAGCTTGGGGCAGCTGCGGCTTAGGGTTTCGGGGTTTTCCGGGATTTGAGGGTTTTCAAGGGCTCAGTGTGTATGGTGTCAGGCCTTAGAGTTTAGGTGTCAGGGTTTTGGGTTATTGAAACTTAACCTAGGGTTTAGGGTTTAGGGGGTTTAGGGGGTTTCGGGGGTTTAGGGGTTTAGGGTTTATAGGGTTTAGGGGGTTTAGGGGGTTTCGGCGGTTTAGGGTTTAGGGTTTAGGGATATGCTACCTGAGCAGTTTGTGTTTGGGAGCTTTTCCGGGCTCTCACCCGCACTCGGAACCCCACAACCTTGAACCCCCGAACGCCCAAACCCCAGACCCCCAAAATTCTAAACTCTGAACCTTGAGTTCTAGGGTTGAGGGTTTAGGGTACTAGATTGTGAATCCGAAACCCCAAACTCCTAAGAACTCTAACCCCGAAGCTCCTAAGCTTGTTTAGGGTTTAGGGTTTTTAGGGTTTAGGGTTAGGATTTAGGGCTTAGGGTTTAGGGGGATTAGGGGGTTTAGGGGGTTTAGGGTTTAGGGTTTAGGGTTTAGGGTTTCTTAAGCCCTTTTCCCAAAGAGCCAATACCCCTTAATTGAGGAATATACCCTTAAGTTAGATAGGCCTTAATATTATGATTTTCAGGTATGTTCCTTAATTAAAGGCTATTGGGGTCTCTGGGTTCGGATTCCCCAGTTTTCGTTCCCGATTCTCAATATCTAGACTCCTGCGGTTTAGGGCTTCGGGCTTAGGGGTCCTGTTTGAACGGTTCCCCTAAACCCTAAACCCTAAACCCTAAAAAGAACCCTAAACCCTAAGCCCTAAAAAAGAACCCTAAACCCTGAAAAAGAACCCTAAACCCTAAACCCTACCGGCAGGAAGATGCCATGCTGGAGTCTCTCACTGAAGTGCAGCTGGTTGCATTGAGCTTCTGCAGCCCCACTGAGCAGCAACTGATGGACTTCGCCAGTGCCATACGACCCTTTGGGACAAAAAAACCCTAAACAGCACATGCCGTAGAAGGTTCCTTAGTCATGCAACCTGTAGCCCCGTGCTGGGCCCTTTCGTCCTTCAGGACTGTCGCAGGCAAGCGAGGTGGAGCGCTATTTAAAGCTTCCGCTAGACCCAGATCATCGGAAACGTGGAGGTCACTTCACTGTTGTTGGAGGCCCGGGCCAATGTGAATATTCCTGACGGGGACGGTGCAACGGCGCTTATATGGGCATGTGAAGACGGCTTCTTGGATACGGCACCTTAGTAGCAGAGTGGATACACTTTACACTTTTTGGGATAGTATTACCCGCTATGGAAACCGAAAGTGTGCATTTTTTGGGGCCTATGAACTCCGCAACTACCCTAAACCCTAAACCCTAAACCCTAAACCTAAGGCCCGTTTGCTCTTGGAAGCCTGGGCCGACGCGAGAGCCGCAGATGTTGATGGCTGCCATGCCCTCGGACAAGCAGCGAGCCAAGGCTCCCCAAAGCCCTGCCTTAAGCTACCAGAACCTACTTTTCTCTGTAGGTTCTTATTATAAATCTTAATCTAGAATGGTTCTTATTACAACTCCTAATATAGAATTTATAGGGACCCTACAAAAAAGTAGGTTTTGGTAGCTTAAAGTAAACCCTAGCCCTTATAACCCCAGACCCTGAACTCCTAAAGGCCACTTGGAGGTCGTGAGGTTCTTGCTGATCGCCCGAGCCGAGATCAATTTCTTGCCGGAAGTAGAAGACGCACATCCGGGGGCAGCTTTGCATCATGCATGTTCTGAGGGCCACTTCGAGATCGCACAATTCCTGTTGCAAGCCCGGGCAGCAGCAAGCGTGCCTGATGCTTTTGGTCTGACACCTCTCCACGATGCAGTAGAAATTGGGAATGAGGAGATAGTAAGTTTGTTGCTTTCGGCTGGTGCGAGCGTGGATGCCGCCGACAACCTCGGCGACACTCCATTGATTTGGGCTTCGGCCAATGGCTTCTCTAGGACGGTACATCTGCTGTTGGAGGCCAGGGCCCAACGGAACCTTGCCAACTACGAGGGCGCTACGGCCCTTCACGTTGCAACTGCCGCAGGTTACCAGGAGGTCGTGAGCTTGTTGCTGCGTGGTGACAAGAACTCGGTTCCTGACAATTATGGCACAACGGCTCTGCATTGGGCTGCTCACTATGGACATGCCGAAGTTGCCCAGTTGCTGCTGCACGCAGGTATGGACCTACATTCTGTTGATGATGCGGGCAGGACTGCGTTTCTAGAGGCAGCTTGCTCTGGCTACTCCAGGACTGCTCGATTGCTTCTTGAGGCGAAGTCCGACCAGGATGCCGCGGACAATTTGGGCCGGACAGCTCTCCATTGGGCATCCATCTTCGGCGATCAAGAGACTCTCTGCATGCTGCTACGGGCGCGGGCCAACGTCAATGGTGTTGATGAGCACAGCACGGCAGCTCTCCACCTTGCATGTTGCAATGGCCACATGCAAGTTGCGCAGTATCTGCTGTTTGCAAGGGCGGACAAAGACCTGGCCGACCACGCCGGACATTTGGGAGTACTTGGAAATCAATTCTTAATGGTTTGGTTACTATAATCTCTAAGGAACAGCTTGCATTTTTAAGTTTTGTAACCCTAAACCCCTAAAAGTTCAGCTATAGGATCGACGAGTCTGATTATGTCGTCTCGACAAGGCTATTTCAACACGACGCGGTTGCTCTTAGCCTCTGGTGCTCAGCGCGATTTAGCCGACAAGGACTGGATTCTCTTGAAGGCGTTTAGGGTTTGTGGCTTTAGGGTTTTAGGGTTTTAGGGTTTAGGGCTTTAGGGCTTTAGGGTTTTAGGGTTTAGGGCTTTAGAGTTTAGGTTTAATCTAAGGTGCAGGTAGCAGAAGAAGGGGCAGATGCTTCTCTATACATCCCGAGTACAGTAACCTACTAGTACTCGAAGCTTTTTGGCGAGAGCCCAAAAGTTACATAGAACCCCGCGAAAGCCCAATTAAAGAAACCGGTTCGACCCAATAAATGCACTATAGTGTCCTCCTATAAGAGCCTATAGGAACCCAATGAAGCCCGAAACCTTAAATCGCTAAACCCGAAACCCAAGGAAGCCCTCAACCCTAAACCTAACGAAGCTCCTCTCAAAGAACTTTGAGGACGGCGGCACCGCTCTGCAATGGGCTGCCTATCGCGGCCATGAAAGCATCGCTTGTCTTCTCTTAGAGGCCTTCATCGGGTATTCCGGTTTAGGGTTTAGGGTTTAGGATTCCTTAGGAAAATATGTTCCTTTCTGTTCTTTTCCACAGGGGTTCATGAACAAAATGATGCGTTTTTTGGGGACAAGGGGGCTTTTAGCTAGATTCCAGGGTTCGCAACCTTAAGCCCTAAGGTTATAAACCTTAAACCCTAAACCGTATCTCCTAAACCCCAAACCCAAAACCCAAAACCCTAAACCCTCAACCTTAGCTCCTAAACCTAAACCCTCAACCCGAAACCCTAAACCCTAAAGGCCCTAACCACAAAGCTTTAAACCCGCAACCCAAAGCCTTGGCTTTCAGGCACTGGCCAACCCTTGTCTGCCAGACGGTCGGGGCAGACTCTCGTTCGCCCAGACGGGGGGGGGGGGCCCCAAGGAGTTTGGGATTTGGGGTTTAGGGTTTAGGGTTTGAGGTTTAGGGTTTAGGGTTTAGGGTTTAAGGTTTAGGGTTTAAGGTTGGAGGTTTAGGGTTGGAGACTCCCAAACCATGGAGTTAGTTTTGGTTGGTTGGTTGGTTGGTTGGTTGGGGCTTACGAGGTGGACGGGTTTTTGAGTTCGGGATTTCGGGTTTAGGAGCTTGAGGGTGTTGGGGTTTAGGGTTTAGGAACTTTATCAGTTGTAGGGAATTGTGTCTTGGGAGGTCTAGAGGGAAAGTGGCAGAAGACCTCCCTGTCTATGTTGAAACTCTATCACTGATGGCCGTAGCGGTCCCTAAACCCTAAACCCTAAACCCTAAACCGTAATTTTGGGGGCGACGGCCTTTAGGACCTCGACTACCGAGGTTTCGGGTGTGGGTTTTATGGCTTCTTGCTCAAGAGCTCCATGTAGGGGCTTGAGATCTTCAGACAGGGTTTAGGGTTTAGGGTTTCAGGGTTTTAGGGTTTAGGGTTTAGGTTTCATGGTTTTAGGGTTTAGGGTTTAGGGTTTCATGGTTTTAGGGTTTAGGGTTTAGGGCTCCTAACGGAGCCCTGTGGAATAGTAAATTATTGGTAGTTCTTGAGGCTTCTATAGCAATCTAAGTCGTCGTGATGGGCGGCTGTGGCGAAGGAATGATTTTCCCTACTATGTCAACTTACCTGGAGCAAGCGAGCGCTAAACCCTAAATCCAGCATGGCAACTCAAACAAAACCACACTAAACCCTAAACCCTGAACCCTAAACCCTAAACCCTAAACATTAAACCCTAAACCCCCAAACCCTAAACCCGGAGAGTCTGTAAACGAAGCGAAAGAGCCCAGGACAGGCTCTCCACTATGCAGCTTACCGGAGGCATCGGAGGATCGCGATCCGGCTACTTCGGGCGGGTGCTGGCAGGGACCTCTCTGACGGTAGCGCCGTGGAAGTTGCGGAAACTTGGTAGGTTTTGATTACTATAAGAGTATACCTTACACTGTCTTGGATAATATACTCCCCTTTCGAAGTGAAAGTTTTGTTCACTTTGGGGCTCATGAACTCCTAAACCCTAAACAATAAAACCCAAACCCTAAACCCTAAGCCCGAAGCCCCTAAGCCCCTAAACGGCAACTAAGGAACTGCTACTGGAGGCTGGCGCCCACCTTGACTTGGCCAGAAACCTGGGGATCGCTGCTGCTGAGCCCGCTTGAGCGATGGCGCAGAAGTTGGCCGGGTTTAGGGCTTCCACGGCACCACCCTGAACGCTAAACCCCTAAACCCAAAGCCCTAATCCTAAGCCCCTAAACCCCAAACCCTAAACCCTAACTAAGCGCTAAACCCCTAAACCCAAAACCCTAATCCTAAACCCCTAAACCCCAAACCTTAAAACCTAAGCGCTAAACCCCTAAACCCAAAACCCTAATCCTAAACCCCCAATAAACCCCTAAACCCAAACCCCTAAACCCTAAACCCCAAACCCTAAGCCCTAAACCCTGAACCTCAACCTTAAATCCGAAACCCCTAAACCCGAAGCCCTGAACCCTAAACCCTAAACCTTAAACCCTCTACAACTTCTAGACATCCTATAGTAAACCCCCCAAAAATTGGAAACCGGATTAAGGACAAATAGTGCTGGGATTCCCTATACACTACTCTTAACGATTGAGGCTATTGGGTTTCCAACTTTTGGGCTTCTACTGTAAACGCCCCTACTATCTCTCGGACCATCTTGGCACTTTGGAAGGGAAGGGGGGAGTCTGAAGTTCGAGGGGCGGTGTCTGTATACCACGAACACCGGGTTTAGGGCTTAGGTTTTGGGGTTTAGGATTTGGGGTTTAGTGTTGGGGGTTCAGGGTTTAGTGTTTAGGGGTTTAGGGTTTAGGGGTTTAGGGTTTCGGGGGTTTGGGTTTAGGGCTCCAGGGGTTTAGGGATTAGGGAGGGGTTGAGGAAGAAAGGACAATAGACTCCTACACCCCGAAGCACATGCCCTGGACCCTAAACTCCTAAACAGTTAGGCCTCAGGGCTTTAGGTTTTAAATCCTAGGAATTCCGAGTTTAAGGACGTGGTGTTTAAGCCTAAACCCTAAACCCCTGGTTTAGGGCTTACGTAGGGTTTAGGGTTTAGGGTTTCAAACCCCTGCGCCCTTCATACAGAACCTTTCCACAGGGGCCTTGATAATCGGAACAGGGCATTGGGGGTATATCATCGCACAATGATTGAAGGAGCCCGAACAAATCTATTTTATCTTTGCCATTCAAGCTTTTATATTGAGATCCTTAAACCCTAAGCCTTAAACCCCTAAACCC